AAATAAGTCAATCAGAGAAAGACAAGTATCATATGCTCTCGCTGTGGAATTTAAGAAACAAGGCAGAGGATCATGGGGGAAGAGAGGAAAAAATGAAATGGGACAAAACCAGAGAGGGAGACAAACCATAAGGGACTCTTAATCTCAGGAAACAAACTGAGGGTTGCTGCAGTGGCAGGGCTGTGAGAGAGATGGGGTGGTTGGGTGATGGACATTGGGGAGGTTAAGTGTTATGGTGCTTGCTGTGAATTGTGTAAGAGTGATGAATCACAGACCTGTACCCCTGAAACAAATAATACAGTATATGTTAATTTAAAAAAGAATAAAAAGAAAGAAGAGGGAAAGGACCCAAATTAATAAAATTATGAATGAGTGGGGAGAGATCATGACTAACACCGAGGAAATGGAAACAATTATTAGATATTATTACCAGCATCTATATGCCACCAAATTAAGCAATAAGGAAGAAAGGGGTGCCTTCTTGGAATCTTATAAACTACCAATTCTGAAACAGGAAAAAATAGACAATCTGAATAGATCAATAACCAGCAAAGAAATCGAAGCAGTAATTAAAAACCTCCCAACAAATAAGACTCTAGGACCAGATGGCTTCCTAGGGGAATTCTACCAAACATTTAAAGAAGAAATAATACCTATTCTACTGAAGCTGTTTCAAAAAATAGAAACAGAAGGAAAACATCCAAACTCGTTCTATGAGGCCAGCATTACCCTGATCCCCAAACCAGACAAAGACCCCATCAAAAAGGAGAATTACAGACCAATAACCCTGATGGACATGGATGTCAAAATACTCACCAAGATCTTAGCCAATAGGATCCAAGAGAACATTAAAAGGATTATTCACCACAACCAGGACCAGGTAGGGACTTATTCCAAGGATGCAAGGGTGGTTCAACATTCGGAAATCAATCAACATGATAGAGCACGTTAATAAAAGTAAAGGCAAGAAAAGTATGATCCTCTCAATTGATGCAGAAAAAGCATTTGACAAAATACAGCATCCTTTCCTGATTAAAACTGTTCAAAATATAAGGACAGAGGGAACATACCTCTTTATCATAAAAGCGGTCTATGGAAAGCCCACAGCGAATATCATTCTCAGTGGGGAAAAACTGAGAGCTTTTCCCTTAAGGTCAGGAACACGACAGTGATGCCCACTATCACCATTATTGTTCAACATAGTACTAGAATTCCTAGCCTCAGCAATCAGACAACAAAAAAAATAAAAAGCATTCAAGTTGGCAAAGAAGAAATCAAAATCTCTCTTCACAGATGACTTGATACTTTTTGTGGAAAACCCAGAGGATTCTGCTCCCAAAGTTCTAGAACTTATACAATTAATTCAGCAATGTTGCAGGATACAAAATCAATGCACAGAAATCAGCTGCATTTATATACACTAACAATGTGACTGAAGAAAGAGAAATTAAGGAATTGATTCCATTTATGGTAGCACCAAAACCCATAAGATAACCAGGAATAAACCTAACTGAAGAGGTAGAAGATCTATACTCTAGAAACTAGAGAACATTTATGAAGGAAATTGAGGAAGACACAAAAAGATGGAAAAACATCCCATTCTCATGGATTGGAAGAATAAACATTTTAAAATATCTATGCTGCTCAGAGCAATCTACTCTTTCAATGCCATCCCTATTAAAATACCATTGGCATTTTCCAGAGAGTTGGAACAAAAAATTCTAAAATTTGCATGGAACCAGAAAAGACCCCGATTCACCAAGTGAATGTTGAAAAAGAAAAACAAAGCTGGGGACATCATGTTGCCTGATTTCATGCTATTTGACAAAGCTGTGATCACCAAGACAGTATGGTATTGGCACAAAAACAGACACATAGATCAATGGAACAGAACAGAGAGCCCAGAAATGGACCCTCAACTCTATGGTCAACTAATCTTCGACAAAGCAAGGGAAAAAATATCCAATGGAAAAAAGACAGTCTCTTCAATAAATGGTGCTGGGAAAACTGGACAGCTATATACAGAAGAATGAAACTCGACCATTCTCTTACACCACACACAAAAATAGACTCAAAATGGATGAAAGACCTCAATGTGAGACAGGAATCCTTCAGAATCCTAGAGGAGAACATAGGCAGTAACCTCTTCAACACTGACCGCAGCAACTTTTGCCAAGATACATCTCTAAAGGCAAGGGAAACAAAAGCAAAAATGAACTTTTGGGACTTCTCAAGATAAAAAAGCTTCTGCACAGCAAAGGAAACAGTCAACAAAACTAAGAGGCAAACCACAGAATGGGAGAAGATATTTACAAATGACATTACAGATAAAGGGCTGGTATACATGATCTATAACATCTTCTCAAACTAAACACCCAAAAAACAAATAATCCAGTCAAGAAATGGGCAGAAGATTTGAACAGACACTTATCCAAAGAAAACATACAAATGGCTAAGAGATACATGAAAAAATGCTCAACATCACTAGCCATCAGGTAAATACAAATCAAAACCACAATGAGATACCACCTTCCACCAGTTAGAATGGCAAAAATTAACAAGGCAGGAAACAACAGATGTTGGGGTGGATGCGGAGAAAATGGAATCCTCCTACACTGTTGGTGTGAATGCAAGCTGGTACAGCCATTCTGGAAACCAGTATGGAGTTTCCTCAAAAAGGTAAAAATAGAGCTACCCTACAACCCAGCAATTGCACTATTAGGTATTTACCCCAACGATACAGATGTAGTGAAAGAAAGGGGCACATGCACCCCAATGTTTATAGCAGAAATGTCCACAATAGCCAAACTGTAGAAGGAGCTGAGATGTCCTTCAACAGATGAATGAATAAAGATGGGGTGTATATATATACAATGGAATATTATTCAGCCATCAGAAAGGATAAATACCTAACATTTGCATCGGTATGGATGGAACTGGAGGGGATTATGCTAAGTGAAATAAGTCAAGCAGGGAAAGACAATTATCATATGGTTTCACTCATATGTGGAACATAAGGAATAGCGTGGAGGATCCACAGGTAAAGAGAGGGAAAACTGAATGGAAAGAAATCAGAGAGGGAGACAAACCATGAGAGACTCTGGACTCTGGGAAAAAAACTGAGGGCTACAGAAGGAAGGGGGTGGGGGGCTGGGGTAACTGGGTGGTGTGTATTAAGGAAGGCAGGTGTTGTGATGAGCACTGGGTGTTATACACAACTAATGTATCGTTCAGCACTACATCAAAAACGAATGATATACTATATGTTGGCTAACTGCACATAATAAAAAAAGAGAATGGGGACAGATTTTGTAGACAAAGTTCCCTAGAGTGTGTCTCAGACTCCAGCTTGTACCAAGGAACCAAAGGAACCAGCTGACCCCCAAGGAGTAGGGCTGCATAGGAAACCCCATCGCCAAGGGGACAGCAGGTTTTGTCTCACTTCCCCACAGGCACAGAGCACTGTGTGAGCATCGAAGCTGAGATCATAGGACTGGCAGTAATAATCAGCCTCATCCTCAGCCTGGAGTCCAGTGATGGTCAGGGAGGCTGAGCTGCCTGACTTGGAACTAGAGAATCGGTTGGGGACCCCAGTGTGTCTCTTATCATCATCATAGTTGAGGAGTTTGGGTGTCTTTCCTGGGAGTTGTTGGTACCAGCTCACAGAGTTATCAATTTCAATGTTTTCAGGGATTCCTTTGCAGGAGATGGTGACACTCTGGCCTAGGGCCCCAGAAACTGAGGGCGGCTGAATCATCACATACTGGGCCCGGGATCCTGGAAGGGGGAGAGAGAGACTGCATGGTGCTGGGGTCTGGAGATAAGAGGAGGAAGCAGGGTCCCATGTGTCCTCCCAGGGCCACTTCTCCTGTCCCCACATCCAGTCACCTGTGCAGTGAGTGAAGAGGGTGAGGAGGAGAGGTAACCAGGCCATGGTGGAGACCATCATTGATCCTGCTTTCTGTCACAGCTGAGCAGAGCCTCCCCTCATCTCTTCCTTCCCCTCTTCATCCTCTGAGAGAGGGAGGGCCCAAACATGCAAATGAGACCCCAACTCTCATGGGACCTGGGTCAAGTCCTTCTATCTGATGATGTAGGAGGATGGGCAGGGGAAGGGCTGTGTGGGGCCAGATGGTAAGGAGGTCACAGCTCTGAGGCCTGAGCAGAGGGCAAAGCAGTGGCAGGTGGCCGGTCCCACCTATGATCACCCCTGACCTCTCAGAAACTGGCCCTGATTGCCCCCCCTGGTGTCAGATCCAGACATACCTTTGTGTGAAATGGTGACCAGAGCCCATCAAACATGACTCCTGCCTCCCCACTGCTCTGATCTCTTTCCCCTGCATTTGGGCCCAGCCATGTGTCCCCTTATGTGGCCTCGCATTACATCAGGACAGACTTTATGCTCTACTCAGATTATTCAGGGTGAGTCTGTCCACAGCTCCTTTGGTAGTTCCTGGGTCAGGACTGAGACGGTGTCTCTACACAAACTCCTCTAGATCAGGATCGAGTCCAGAACAGTGACAGGACCCCAGGGACAAATGGTCCCTTCTGTGCAGGATGCTGTGTCTTCCCTCTTGTGTGAGTCCTCCCTGGTTTCCAAGCTCTCCTTCCTCTAAGGTCCCCACAGCACTGAGGAGACAGGGAATGATTCTCCCCAGATTGTGGGTAGAAGCCGTTCCGTGCATTCCTAGAGGGTTACACACTGCACATCTTTGTCACCTGTCACTGTTTCCACCTGCTTGAAACAACAGTGCTCCACACACTGTGGGCAGTGGTTTCCTCCTAAGATCTGTTCTCCCAGACACAGACACAAGTGTGCAGGAGCCCTGCCACGTGAGCCTGTGTGTGGCATTGACCTCAGAGCAGAAGGGGCAAATGCTGGAAGTTCTAGGAGGGAAAGAGCGACAGTTGCAGATGCTCTGACAGGCACCCAGTGATAGAGCTTATGTATCAGTCATGCCTTAGCCTACAGTGTACTTAAAATGCATGTATGTTACTGAAACAAAATTCAACTCAGTAAGATTGATTTAAAGTTAATCACAGGGTGCCTGGGTGGTTCAGTTTTTAAGCGTCTGCACTTGGCTCAGGTCATGATCCCAGGACCCTGGGATCGAGTCCCGCATTGGGCTCCCTGCTCCACGGGAAGCCTGTTTCTCTGTCTTCCACTCCCCCTGCTTATGTTCCCTCTCTCGTTGTCTCTCTCTCTATCAAAAAATTAATAAAATCTTTAAAAAAAAAAGTCAATGACAATGTCAAGTTGAAAATTCAGGTACAATCATTCATATACTTTTATAAATCTGTGCTTATTGTGGGGAGAATATGGGTAGAAAATGTGGTTGAAAAAATGGATGGAAAAACAATGGAAAGTAATGTCTTCCATTCTTGGTTGAATAGGTTTTTATAAACCTCGATCTGAGTCATTTGATTTACTATTATTATTATTATTGTCATCATCATCATCATTATTTTCATTAGTTTTGTATCATGGATCTAGATCTGCAGTTAGAAAACCATGACATGGTACCCAGTGCACCCCATGAGGGCTGGTTCCTTTGAATCTTAGAGCCCTCACACTGATGGAATTACCAAACACAGACAGACTTTCCAGGATGGAGCCAATTACAGGTCACACTTGTCTTGGGTGGGCACAACTCTGGTCTCTGTGTCTTGTGTCCAGCATGTTCAGGATAGAGCTATTGCTTATTCAGCCACCCATCATTATATATAATTACCAAGGCCAACTAGGCCCAGAATATTCTCTCAAAGGCCCCACATCTGAGTGGTGGAGAGGTGGAAATAAGAGGAACTGTGTCCCTGAGGTCATAGCCCTGTGGCCTTCAATTAGGACAGACTGTTCAGCAGAGTCCCAGCCTAGCAGGAGGGGTGGCACTGGTGAATGAAGGAGGGACAGCCCAGCCTTGAGAGCACAGGGAAGTTTTGTCCCACATCCCCGTGAGTCTTGAGCACCATGGGCACTGCCCTGAGGCTGCAGTCTCAGAATCAATGTACTGATCAGCCTCAGACACTGACTGGAGCTTGGAGATGGTCCGTGTCTGAGCTGTCCACATGGACAGAGACTCTTCCTGGGATTCCTGAGCATCAGCCTCTTCCCATGAGAGCAGGTGCTCAGAGCACATCCTGGCTGCCCTGGTGATAGGACCCCAGTGACACTCGATGTCACCAGTGTTAACTGCTAATGGGATTCTGCCTCCTGGAGATTGTGACACTGAGGATGGCTGGGTGAGCATAGGTTGAGCCTGACTTCTGGAAGGACTGAGAAGACTGGAAACTGCAGAGGCCAATAAAATATACACTCAGAGAGAGGAGAGCTCTGTGATGTGTGTGTGTGACCAAAAATGAGACCAAATATCCCTTTGTTCATCTTATGTCTTCTCCTGAAGGATGGTTCTCCATGAAGCTGATTCTGGATTTAAAGGGCAGGTGTCGAAGACCTCTTCCCTGTAGGGGGATTTATATTAGGCAGGGAGGACTAACATGAGAGCAGAACTGTTAACAATTTAGTGAATCAGAAGTCAAAGTCTTGTTGAGTGACAGATGAGATCTATCTCATCTGACCTTCCATCCAGTGAATGGTGTAAGCATAATTTAAAGCAAAGGATGCCTAACAGTGGAGAATATTTATTTGATGCAGTGGATCACAAATAATAGTATTATTTTGCTATTCAGGGGTATTTGGAAATCACCTGTGCAGTTAACAAGCAGGGTGAGGAGAAGGGGAGCCCAGGCCCTGGTACAGATGAACCAAACTCTGCTTCTGAGCCCCAGTGCCAGGCCTGAGGCCATTAACCCTTTTTATGCAGGGGAAAGGTCTCTGCTCTGACCCCTGGAAGGGCAGAGGCCATGCTGTGGACTGTCCACCCGCTGGGATGGTCCATGACCTCTGAGGAGAATGAAATCAAAGAAGGATCATTTCCCTCATTTCAGGAGAAAAAGAGCAACTACACAGGCCTGGCTATGTCCCAGATGAATAAACAAGCAACATCAGCATTATCCTGACACGTTTCACTTCTCATTTTTGTTTTGTTTTTCCTGAAAGCCACAGAAACATTGAATGGGTAGTTGATGGTAAATATATTATCAACCAGGTGATACTTACTGGTACAGTTGTGTATATACAACTTATTTTATAAGTTTTAAATTGCCATGAAACAAGACTCCAAACAGATGGAGGTTTCTGTACCACGTCCCATCTGCCTGTGTCACCGTGAGAAGCATTACTGTGTCCAATCAGACTGTAATAGTCAGCCTCGTCCTCAAACTGCAGCCCCAAGATGAGCAGGAGCCCTGCATTGTCTGAAGTATCTTTGGATGGAGAGAAGTGGCTGGGGCGCCTGGAGCCCTGGTACTTCTTTGAGTCTGAGTAATAGTACAGGAGAGACCATGGAGGGCTCCCTGGCTTTTGTTGTTGCCAATGTATGTAGTAGCAGCCAATGCTGAACCCACTGCTCAGGGTGCAGGTGAGTCTGGCTGATGATCCCAGAGATGCAGAGAGGGAGGGAGGCTGGGTCAGGACAGGCTGGGACAGGGAACCTGCAAACATACACACTCAGGGGTGATGGGTGCAGGACCATGATAAAATTTCTCAGGCTCTGATCCAGATGGGCTAATTCAGGCTGGGAGTCTTCCCTGTGTCGCCGAGGACTCTCCCTACCTGTGTAGTGAGAGAGGAGGATGAGGAGCACAGGAGTCCAGGTCAAGGTAACACAGACTCTTCAACCCCCAGTGGGCTGGGCTGCCCCAGGCCTCCTTTTCTCCTCCACCCTCTGCCACTGGAGGGGCTGTCCATGCAAATGGGGTCCACCCAGTGACTGCCCAGCTTCCCCCTGAGTCCTGGTACTGGAGCTTAGTTCATGCCTCAGACTGTGGAGGATGGAGGTTGACTTCATCCCTGGGGAGAGCCCTGGGAGGAAGCACCTGCTGAGACCACACACAGGCACCCTGAGCAGAGGGCACCAGCAAAACAGCCTGGTTCTTGGTCCACAGGTCTTGTCTCCTGCTTGTGGTTCAGACATGTGTCCCTACCACCCCCTGCTGGCCCGGCCCTGGTGCATGTTGCAAGGTACCTGAAAGGCAATGTTGGCCTCCTGCCTGGGAGAGAGGTGGGGCCTCTTTGACCATTGCCATTTCCACTGCCCGCTCCTCACAAATGGGAGGGACCCCTTACCCCAGGGCTCCTCACTAGGCTGCAACGCTTCACCACCATACACCTCTCAGTTCCTTATTTTGACCTCCTCAGGTGCTAACCCACTGGCCCTCCCTTATGCATTTATATTAATGAAGGGTGGGATCGTGGAACTCCTCCTGTGGGAGGACATGGTCCCTAAGGGAGGACATGCCCTGTTGTCAGCAGAGCAGAAGGCCCCCTCAGGCTCTAGATGCCCCTCTAGGTATGATCTACCTGCTGCCCTGGCCTCCACCTGCCCCTTCAGCTCCCGAAGGTCACCTCCAGGGGCTCCTCCTGGCACTCTTCCCCACTTGTCATACAGGCAAGGACACCTGCAATTTCCCATTTATTTAATGACCAATGTTCCAGTGTTAAACTCTGCTCTCCCTGGAGCATTCAGATCCATGTGCCTCCATCTCTCCCATTCCTACTTCTGCAAATTCCAAATTAGACTCCACTCACACTGATGAGGTGTCTTGGGCCCTACTCCCCACCCTCAGCCTCGGCCCCATACAGACACCTGTCCCCAGGCCTGCACCTGCTCCATCCTTTTTCCCCTCCCACAGCACCTCTTCAGGGGCTGGAACAACAAGCACACATGGAGCTGAAATAAGAAGTGGAAAGACTTATTTTTAATGGGAAGAGATTTATAATTGTTTCTGGATGAAAATAAACTTGTACAAAGTAAAGTCCTGAGAAATTTCCAGTCTCGGATAGCAGAGAACCATTGCTTCTCAAGACAGCTCCTT